TATTCCTCAGAACTTTAGCTTAATCCATTGGTTCTATATAAACATATTGTTAAAGATTCTAATTTAGAGTAAAAAAAAAAAAAAAAAAGTGGAAGAGTAAGAAGCAATACTAAAAGTTTAGAGTTTACCTAATAAAGATGATTGAAAACACTAAACTTACCAGTGTTTTTTCTGCTGTATCTTAACGAGCTGTTCATGTAATCTTCTTAAACATTGCACTCTGTTTAAGTTAAGTACCGATTAAAATCATTCACTTAATGGAAAGTACAAAATAACAGGTTCAATGATGTACTAAAGCACTACAGTAAAATATATATATTTTTTTTAGCCTAAAAGGAAACAAACTAAATTAAAACTTCTATAAAAAAAAAAAAAAAAAAATCAATGTACAGAAAATAAGACTTTTCCTCTGGTTGACTGTTTGTAAAGAGAACATAAAAAGTACAGACTAGGTCTAGTTTGGTTCTTTTCAATTATTAAACCTGCAAATGGCATTAAAATGGATGTAAATCATAAAACATGATCAGCACATAAGTTGATATTTATTCCTAAAGAGGGAATAGATGTCTTTGTTCCATCATTGGCAAAGTTTCCCGTCTCCATCAGAGTTTCCTATAAGCTAACTGGGCTCCAACTGGATACATTCTCCTGATTTTCCCCATTTACTTGCAGCTGTGATGTCATTATTATGTACAGAAGTACAACAGTTTTGGGAAAAAAAAGGAGTACTTATTAGTACTTAGATGTCATACACACTCCGCTTTGTTTTAAAAAAATCTAAATATAAAAGATATAACCGCAGATGTCTGGGGGACAGTGATTCGCCTACATGTTATGAATGCTGGCGTACCATAAAGAATAAATTATGAACAGTTTAGTTTGTGCCTTCAAGTCGTTGCCCATAGGAAGACGCTACTTGGATTATAAAAGTGAATATCTTCAGAACAGCTCCAAATGACACAAAACTCATATGGGTGAGTGCATCATGATGTAATAACGTAAAATCAAGGACCCAATGTAAAAAAAACACACAAAAAAACAGCATTGCCCTTTAAATAGAGGGGGTGGACTCAGATTTCGACTTTCAAAAAGCTACAAAGCAGCAATTGAGTTGGTCCCTTCCCGCTATCATCGCAGCCCCTGCACGGAAGAGAAGACCTTGCTTATTCAGCCAGGCCAACACTTCCCTTTAACGGCCGACCTTTCAGACACTTAGACAGGTATGGGGTATTGCAGGCTAACAAAAGAAGCCAAACAACCCCCATTCTAAAAGGGTGGGGGTTGTTTGGCTTCGTCCCTTTTAATTTGCATGTTTTCAAAACAAAAACAAGGCATTGTTGGGCTACTATATAAAACCTGGAACTCAACGTTATTGCTGACATTTTGAATTGAAAAAGCTTCTTGGATGGGAAGAGAAACTTCTTCAAATTTGGAAATAAAGTCCAGTGGATTGTTTTTTTAAATGTCTTTTTTTTTAATAGTTCTAGAAACTATCATTCTAAAAGGGGTTGCGGGGACACAGTTGGTGTCTAATGAAAGGTGATACATGTCATCAATATGGATGCCAGGGAATCCCACTCTTTCTGCCTGCTGGCACTCTTCCAAAACATTCTCTTGCGCTCCTCAGGTAAGTTATGCCAACCTTCTTCCGTTGCCATGTGCTCAAGATTAGCAGCATTTCTACAGACCAGGCAGAAGAGCAGAGGATGAAATCTGTAGACTGGTTTGTAAAAGAATGCAACTTGAAAAGCTTGATGTACAATGAAACTGTTGACATTTCAGCATTTTTGTGATTTTATTATTACAAAGTATTAAAAGACAAAGTTTCAAGGTTCTCGATAAAATAAGAGAGATGCAATGCAGGAAATCCATGCATCAGAAAGTGCTGACCAAAAAGAACAACACAAGGCCTGACTCACATTTACAGTACAGCATCCTGAGGAAATGCACACACAACTTTAAGGAACAGAAACCAAACATGGCAGCTGTGGTTGTGCACCAGTCTAGTCTGCTTTACTTCATACACTGTGAATTTATTCTTCTTTTGAGAAGGCAAATGAGATAGTTTGTCAATAGAATAAGACAATGCATTTGTATTTTCTTAGTTTAAGTGTAAATTGTCTTTTTCAATTGGCAAAATGTCTCTTTTACCTCCTTAAGAAAAATTTAATTATTTTAAGAAAAAATTACTTATCTAGATTTTGATTTTTTCCAATGTAAAGTGGTGAACATCATGGAAATCCTGGAGAACAGTAGGTCATGAGTTTGGGAACCTCAGACTAAGTGAAATTTGGTTTTGCAAAGACGAGCAATATTAAGAAGGACGCCAGAAAGCTCTGAATACGTAAATCATTTGAACGTGGAGGGGCCTAATCAAAGTCTGTGCTTATAACCAACTGTGTTGCAGTGGCTACACTTTCCTTCTTAAATTAGTGATGTCATGATCCGACATCCTGCGATGGACTGGCGACCAGTCCATGGTGTACTCCGCCTCTCGCCCGTAGACAGCTGGAGATAGGCACCAGCACCCCTCGCAACCCCACTTGGGATTAAGCCTGTAATAAAATTGATGGTTGGATGATCCTACATGGCCATCAGCCAAAAAATGAATGATGGAGTCCATCAACCTGGATCCATTCAATTCAATTCAGTTTATTTATATAGCACCAATTCACAACACATGTGATCTCAAGGCAGTACAGTTCAACCAGATCATCCAGTCAGATTGATTCAAAGTTTCCTGTCTAAGGAAAACCAGTTGATTCCATCAACTCATTGAGTCCAAAGCATTGACGAAACAACTGGGGTTCAAGGAGACAGAAGCAGACATAGAAAAAGAAGAAGAGATACAAATGGCAACTGTAAACCAGCTCCAGAGGCGACCCTGTCCAGGAAACACACAGCCGGGAAGATGAACTCTGAACCAGCTCTGATGTCAGAGGATGAAGAGAGCACATCCAGCCAGTCACAGTCGGAGAAACAGGACTACACTGAAAAACAGCTCAATGTCCAACATCTATAAACAAAGGTGTTGATGGCAGCAGCAAAGCAGATATTTCTCTCCGGGATGTAACAGCCAAACAGGAACAGACCAGATGAAGCTTCTATGAGAAAAAGCAGAGAGAGCAGAACATTAGAGATTTAACTAACAGATTTCGGAGAGGGAGAGAATACAGATAGAATGAAGCAAAAATTATGAAATAGGGGTCCCTATGTCCTCCAGAAATCTAAGCCCATAGCAGCATAACTACACTGTGTGCAGAATTATTAGGCAAATGAGTATTTTGACCCCATCATCCTTTTCAAACATGTTGTCCTACTCCAAGCTGTATAGGATTGAAAGCCAACTACCAATGAAGTAAATCAGGTTGTGTGCATCTCTGTAATGAGAAGGGGTGTGGCCTAATAACATCAACACCCTATATAAGGTGTGCTTAATTATTAGGCAACTTCCTTTCCTTTGGCAAAATGGGTCAGAAATTAGATTTGACAGACTCTGAAAATTGATAAATTGTCTGATGTCTTTCAGAGGAGTGCAGTTTGGAAATTGCCAAGCTTTTGAAGCGGGATCATCGCACAATCAAGCGGTTCATGGCAAATAGCCAAGAGGGGCCCAAGAAGCGTGTTGGAAAGAAGGCGCAAAATAACTCCCCATGAATTGAGAGGGATCAAGCATGAACCTGCTAGGAGGCCATTAACTACTAGTTGTGCCATATTTCAGAGCTGCAACATGTCTGGATTGCCGAGAAGCACAAGGTGCTCAATACTCAGGGACCTGGCCAAGGTAAGGAAAGCTGAAAAAAGGCCACCTTTGAATAAAACACACAAGACAAAAAGTCATGATTGGGCCAAGAAATATCTGAAGACTGATTTCTCCAAGGTGTTTTGGTCTGATGAAATGAGAGTGAGTCTTGATGCGCCAGATGGATGGATGGGCACCAGGCTGGATCAGTAAAGGGCAGCAATTTCCTTATCGACTCAGACGCCAGCACGGTGGAGGTGGGGTACTGGTATGGGCTGGTATTATCAAAGATGAGCTTGTGGGACTTTTCGGGTTCATGATTGATTCAAGATCAACTCCCAGACCTACTGCCAGTTTCTGGAAGACACCTTCTTCAAACAGTGGTACAAGAAGAAGTCGCCATCATTCAAGAAAAACGTGATATTCATGTAGGACAATGTTCCATCACACACATCCAAATACACCACAGCGTGGCTGGCCAGAAAAAATATAAAAGGAGAAAAAATAATGGCATGGCCCCCTTGTTCACCTGATCTGAACCCCATGGAGAACCTGTGGTCCTTCATGAAATGTGAGATCTACAGGGAGGGAAAACAGTCCACCTCTCTGAACAATGTCTGGGAGGCTGTGGTGGCTGCTGCACGCAATGTGGATCGCAAACAGATTAGAACACTGACAGAATCTATGGATGGAAGGCCTTTGGGCGTCATGGGGAAGAAAGGTGGCTAAGTTGGTCACTGATTTGTTTTTGACTGTCCCAAATGTTTATTTCTGAATTTTGAGTTATATTGGTTTACCTGGTGAAAATAAACAAGTAAGATAGGTATACATTTGTTTGTTATTACAGTACAGTAATATTTACCTGCACACACAGACTTCCTCATAAAATGTCCAAATCTAAAAAAAAACAAACAACAAAAAAAAAACACAACTTTCAAAAATATGGAACTTTGATATTAACCTTATAGGTTAATATTCTCATTGTTGACTATTGATCTCTGAGAGATATCAATCATTTTCTAACTTGTAATGAACAATGAAAATATGGATTATTTGTGCTACAATAGTTTTTTAATAATTTGTAATATCCACATTTTTAATTACAGTTTAAACAGACTGAAACTCTGAAATGAAACAGCAATTTGTGATTTCTGCAAATAGTTAAAGTAACCCCTTTCAATTTAAATGGTTTTATTTTATTAAAGTGTGTTTCTGGGGAGCAGGTCCAGGTCCCCCCCGGAGGTTTACAGTTTGGTTCAGTCCAGGGCTGCTAGCATAAACAAGATGGCTGCGTAAGTGTTGAAGCGCCGAAGTTCAGTTTTAGCTCCAATTCTTAAACCAATCGTTAACTTCTTCCGTGACCCGCTCGCTCTGAATTGGTCAAATGCAGGTAAGAGAAACGAATAGCTCAGTGGTTCATTTCTGAGGTAGGAGAACGAGCCTGTATCCAGCATTAGCATCTGTAGCTAGCCTAGCATGAAGCTTGCTGTATGAAACCCAGCTGAAGAACTGAGAGGGTTCGATTTCATGCCACCCGGACTGATCGGTTAGGGGGAGAGGGAGGTGGTGTTTCGTACAGCATCGTGGGGATAAGAAGTGCAGGTTAGAAGGCCTGGCATCAATGCATTAAGAGCTGGTTAGCTGCTTTATGCCGAGATGTTGGCAGGGATCCGTTATGAGGCTACCTGTTATTTGGTGGTGTAACAGCACCCCCTGCTGGCAGGGTTCAAGGCTTCCTCAGTGATCATGGTGTTTTCAAGGCTTCTGATCACCATTACTGGTGAAAGTCACAGGGATGCCGACTTTTCACCAAACCTTGGAGTGAGATTTAGAAAGAGTTTGGACAGGAAACTGTCAGGGTTAGATTGAGGCTCTGAGGTGCAGCTAAAGGTTGGAGGTTTTCAGAGGATTTAACGGAAACTAAGTGGCAAAATGTGTAATTCTTATACCACAGTGAATGTAACTGAATGACAATTAGTGATCTGTAGTTATGTGGAACAATTTTCACACAATATCCATTATTTTCTGTATTCTGGAGATTTTTACAGACTTGAAGTAAAGAAGAATGGGCCCCACTAAAATACTAAAGCAGGGGTAACCAATTAAAAATCAGTGGGGTTTGAATAAAGAAAATCATCAACCAGTAAAGGTCCAGAGACATTTTT